CCTATGACTTGAATAAAAAAAACATTTATCTTCTGTTTTTGTTTTTGAATAGTTTCCTATTAATTCTTTTGTTATTCTATTGTAGATATCACTTTCTTTTTTATTTGGATTCAACTCTATAGAAGATTTACCAATGTTTAACAATATCGACTGGTTTGATGATATATTTGATATTGTCAATATAGATGGTGACAAGGATGATGATCAACAAGAAGTTGAACGTGCGATTATCGAAGATTATTATGAAGATTTAAATTTAAATTCGGATCAAGAATAAGATGGTGAAGAAGAAGAAGAACAAGAATATACGATTTCAGATGAAAGGAGTGAAATGAAGACTGAAAATGTTCAAGAAGAAATTTTATCACAAAAATTAAGTCAACTATCTACTGAAGGTCATAAACGTCCATTGAGTACTCCAACAGCAAGTCAAGAAGAAAATTCAAAGAAAAAGATTTGCTTACCTACAGATGTTAATGTTCAACAACAACAACCACAACAAACAAATCAAATAACAGCTTATTTAGAAACAATGGATACAATGTTCAAGCGTACCCTATTCAATGATGCTAGAATACCACCCAACAATCTACAAGTTCTAATCGATTGTAAACAACAAATTGAATTGACTCAACTTCATTTAAAACGTTGGACACGATATTATGAAATAGGTAGTCAACAACAAATATGGTCAAAAGAAATAGTGAAATTATTTACAATGAAGAAAATTGACGAAAACGAATATAAAATCTACGTAGAAAAATATCTTAATGAATTAAATCGAAAATTAGAACAATTACAACAACAAATGAATACTTTGAAAGAAGATTGTCCTCATTTACTTGAAGAATTTATTCAAACTTATCGTCTATTACCATGGAAAATGAAATCAGATTGTCATCTTACTCAATTTGAATATGACTATCAAGATCAATTATTAGAACGTGAATTTCTTTCTCTTCAACCAACAAAAGAACAGGTATATCAATACTTTTTTTTTTCGTCTCTAGAAATTTTATTTTATATTTAAAGATTGAAGTTAGCAAGAATCTAAACAAATTATATTATGAATATAGACGAGCAAAAAAAGAATTCAATGAATTAAAACATCGTATTCAATGTAATCAACCAACTCAAGAAAGTGTTACACAAGCTTCGTTTATGTTATTGACAACAACAACAACAGTTACGAATCCAAATTTTTATCATCAAGAAATTGATCAAGATGAAAAAAAATTACAAGAATATTTAAATAATTTCATGATGAAATCAATACAAGAAGCTGAAAAGAAAATTTTACAATATAAACTCTTATTTCAAGAACAAGAACAACAACAACTTTCTCAATCTGTATTAACATCATCGATGATCGATATTGTTTATCGTCGTTATGAATTATGTAAAGCAAAACTTGATTATACTGAACAATTTCGTTTGAATTATTTTTTACGACAACATTTTGGTCAACAATCAGATGAATTTAATTTAGCTAAAATTAGTTTCTCACCCACCATCATCGTAGATGCATCCATGCATGTATTTTATAAGGAACATTTACGATTATTATCACGTGGACCCACATATGTACCACCGTATCAAGTGATAAAACAAAATCTTGAAAAAAATTATAAACAATTACAACATGATGTCAATGTCATATTAGTTAAATCAAATGTTAATTTAGTACAATCAATAGTACTACAAAAACAAATTAAAGATCTCTATATGAAAATGTTTTCGAACAAAATTCAATCACTACCGAAATCAATCTTTGAACGTGCACAATATGAACAACAACTTATTGAAACAATAAAAAATGATTTAAAAAGATTTAATTTAATTTTACGACGAACTTATGATCAACGAAATGTTTTCTATCTTGGTGATAGACTATCATTCGATAGATTATCACAAGAATTTATGTTACAAACAGATCTATTCGAAATCGATATGACTATTGATAATGAAAATCTTCAAGTAACACGTGATTATTTAACAAATCAAATTAAATCTATGAATCAAGAATTTAAAACTATTTTGATCGATACAAAAAAATATAAAGATCAACTTAATCAAATAACGGTTTTAATTGACAAAGTAAAATTACCTTATTTATATTTTCTACCAGATCTATCAAAACAACAAACATCATTATTAGATCTGGTAAAACCTCGGCTGATGACATCAAAACAAAATGCTACTTATCGTTTAGGAAAATTTCTTGATCGAATACTACGCTATATGATGAATATACATCGACAAGGACGTATGTTTTATAATGGTTCTGATTTCTTACGAAAATTTCATGATTATATTGATCGTACTCATCGTCTTTGTTCAACAACCAAATTTGTTACAATTACTATTGACAATTTTTATCATTTAGTTTCACATGATCACATGTTAGATGCATTAACAGATTTTTTTATTAATGATTATCATTTACCCTACATTGAAAAGATACATTATACTAAAATTGTTCAATTAACAAGTTTATTTCTACGTAATAATCGATTTTATTATGATAATAAAATCTATCGATTTATCAAAGGTGGTCCAACAAATTCAGGTCTTATTGAAACATTAGCCAATATTTATCTTAGTCGAATGGAACAATTTTTAATTGATCAACATTTCATGCAAAATGAATTCTATGGTCGATATAAAAATCAAATCTTCTTTACATGGAATCAATCATTGAATGAACTTGAACAAATTCTCAAATTGATGACTTCAAAATATGATCATCTTGATTTTGATATACATATTGAACAAAAATTAACCTATCTTGATATTTATTTAGAAAATCATCATGGTTTACTCTATAGTCGGATTCATCATCATCGACAAAATCAACAATGTTATACATTACCATATACTCCGAATGGAAATTCAATAAGAACACATAGTCATTGGTTACGATCAAGTCTTATACGTGCTGTTCGTTATTGTACAACAATGGAAGATTTTAATCAAGAACGAATCTATCTAGAAATGACATATCTAGCAAATGGTTATTCATTGGAATTCATAGAAAAACATATGCAACATTTTTTTACATTTTTCGATGGCAAAAAATTACAACAATTACCTTTAGATCAACGTCTATATGAAAAATTTCGTCATCGTCTATTTAATTTTATGAGTGAACAACGACAATACATGGAGAAAAAACAAGAATCATTCAAGAAGAATCGACGTTTTCATTTATCATATACTCATGATAATATGAGTCCAAAGGGTGAATTCAATAAAAAATTACGTAAAATTTTATCAGAAAATATTCCATTACATGATGTAACATTTGAGAACAATAAATTACAACTTGATATCATACCCAACTATCAATATTCATTAAATGCACTTCTTAGTCGACAACGACCAATACATCCAATATTGAATAAAAATTAACTAAAACAAAAAAACATTGAAATCATTGTAGCTTTAGAAATTTTGTTGTAGTTCTCATAATAAATCATTACTGTTTTCTTTTTCTCAGTTTCTATTCTAGATGACAGAAAATAACTCTTACAAAATCGATCATCGTTATAATCAAAATAATACACCAATAATAACTACAAATGGTCAACAATCAGTTAAATCTTATCGTGAACAAATTGAAACAATGTTAACACGATGGCATCAATTACAAAAAGTAAAACAACAATGTCCACCTATTGATTTCGATAATATAATGGAAACTGATCTAGCACGACAACTTCATGAAATAGAAGAACAAGAACAAAATAATTTATTGGAAAAAACACTTGAATTACAATTGTGTCAATATGATAATCAGCCATGTAGAATATCCGATGATGATATGAAAAAACAACTAAAACAGATTGAAATTGTAAAACAATCTGAAAAAAATGAACAACAACGTCAATATGATAAAATTTTACAACAATTGAAACAATATGAGAAAATTGAAATCAATTCTCAACATAAACAAGTAAATACTTCTATTTTTTTTTAATATTGTTCATGTATATTTTGAAATCTATTTTAAAGAAAACAAATAGCTCAAATCATCATGATAGAAAAGAATTTGTTTGTATTCGTGAACAGAAACATAGTAAGAATGATCATAAGAAGTTTTTTGAATTTCTCACTTGTATTTTCTAGTATTAGAATTAAAATTAACTATTATTAAAGAAAATCAAATGAAAACAAGAAACATTTTACATCTACTTGAATCTTATACAAATAAAAGAAAGCTATATGTTATAAAAAAAACAAAATAATTCATTTTCATTATCATGCCATTATAATCATATTTATCTGTTTTTTAAATCTTTCTAGTTCATTAATATGTTTCGTTTTTTGTTTTTATTCTAGATATCTATATAAAGTTATTATCAATGTTGCCAAATCTATTTGAATTGACAAAAATGGTTAGATTGTTCTATGGTAAACTTGGTCCCATACATGTTGAAATACCCATCAATAAGAATACATCACACACAATAATGGTTACCGATAGTATCACTATGGCTGAATTAAAAGATCGTGTTTATGCAATTGGTGGTGATTATTTTGGTGATGTACCAACAAAAACATCAGCAACATCATTAAATACAATTGAAAATAATTGTCACAATTACCCACCAACAAATGTTCATATAGGTTTTGTCATTGGTATAGCTTTAATCATATTGCTTTTATCGATTAATATTATTGTTATGATATTAAAAAAACGATCAAAATATCGTACAAGAATCGAAAATATTTCAGGTGGTTCATTACGATTAGATGATCTGTTTCCTGATGTAAATCATCAACAACGGCAACAACAGCAACAAAAACAATAATATCAAAAATAAAAGACATAAATTTCATTTAGATCTATAGATAGATTTAGTTGTCTATCAATCTTGTTGTTTGCTTGTTTTTTTTTTTTTGTTTGTTATGTCTTCCATTTAGATACATATATTACATTTTTCTTTATTCTAGATAATTATCCTCAACAAAAACAAAAAACTAAATCAATGGACAAGATTTTCGTGATTGGTGATGAAGAAGACAATACATATAAGTGGGATCGAGATATTCCAACAGCTTTTATAACAACAACAAGAATGCCACGAAAATCAATCAATAAAAACGATATAAATGAATTTATTCTATGGTTATATGAATATCTCAATAGTATTATACCCATATCATACATATATGTTTTATTTTTAAGTGCAAGTGTATGTTGGATAATACATATCTTATGTTGTTCTAGCAAAGATATTGATCGTATGGATACAAATGGAAATTCGAAAAAAAAAAAAATATATTCGACGAAAATCTATCCAAAGAAAGCAATCATACTTCATGTTTAAAAATAACATTAATAAAATAGTCTGTAGTAGTAGTAGTATAAATTAAAGAATAGAAAAAAACGAAAAAAAAAATTCTTAGAAATAGTTTGATCTTATACAACGTTCTTTTTGTTTGTATTGTAGATTTCACCGAACTTCATAGATTATGACTTCATATCAAGTTGAACGTAATAATGATTATTATAAAAAAATCTTAGAAGACAATCATATATATATTCCCGATCGATATTATCAACCTTTGGTACAATCTGGTTTAATAGAACAATTGACTCATATAATTCTCAATGTAAATGAAAAATTATTGAATTCAAAACGTCCACGATATAACACTGATGGTGATGATAATGATGAATCTGATCATAAGTATCGACGAATTTTAGAAGAAATTAATTCATCAGTATCGACTACATCATCAACATTATTATCAATATCACCAACACCAACATATACTGAACATATGATTGTCGATGAAGATTTCTATCAAAAAGAAAACAATAAGTAGCAAAAAAAAAACAATATCGTAACGAATATCTTTACAAAGATGTCTCATTTTTTTGTTTTGATATTAAATGATAGTAGTTAATTTCTTTAAAAATAATACATACATACAACACACTCCATTATTATCTGTTTCTAGATACTAATTTTTCTTATCTCGACACTCTCAACTACATATGGATAATAATACAACTCAAGCCTGTACAACAACAACATCGAATAATGAACAACAAGATTATCAATCAACAACTTTAAATGCAGATAATATGGCACGTTCATTTTTTTTGCCAATATTTCCACCAAAAACATCAATTATAACACTAGGTGTCAATGATCATTTATTATTAGCTAATGTACCAAGTTCGTAGTATTATTTATTGAATTTTGTATTTATTTTATTGTTAAATCTCTATTATAGATAATCAACTTACACCAGATGAACTATTACGACGTCAACAAGCTACAAATATAATAGATAATTCGACATTGAACAATACGGATAATAGGCACGAACCGTTTTGTTTATCTCCAATAGATATTGAAGAATTATCGACAAGATTACAAGTTAAAGAATCAATTATTATCTACAATGCCGATCGATTACGTGTCATTTGTGATCAACTTTTTGGACTATATCAATACTTTAGAAGAAAAGTACTTGCAAGACCAGATGTTGCTTTAAAAGAACCAACTCTCAATTCTAAACAAATGTCTATAATATTAGAATTTTTCTTACAAATCGATGGTAAGTATTTAATTATTGATTGTTATCGAAGATTCTATTGTTTTGTTTTATAGTCGATGTATTCTATATGAAAACATGTCGATTTCGTGATGCTGAACCTTGCTCATCAATACAAGGTCTTTTCTGTAATGATGAATCACCAAAAGCAAGATATAGTATGGTTCCATGTGGTACGACGAATTGTCCATGTTGTCATTCCATAGAAAATAGTTCAAATTATCGTTTTGCCAATGGATATACAACTTATTTGAATTGTCCAGCAGTATGTTAAATCGATATAGTAGTTGATGAAATTTTTACAAAATAATTGTAGACATGTACAACATCGAATATTGTTTATGTTATGACATGTCCATGTGGTCAATATTAATTTATTGATTCAACATCAGGTACATTTGCTGATGCTTTAAGTCGTATGTAAATTTAAAAAAATTTAACAAAACCAAATACATTTATTTTTTTTATATATATAAATAGATCAGCGATTGGTATGTAATCATATGATGCATAGTTTCTTAACGGGTACTCCAATTTATCATGAAATGATGACACCAATGGAACGTTGTCAGTATGTGAATTGTTTTTTTTTCTTGTTTTTTTTTATATATGTATGTATATATTTATTTTAATCATCTATGTTAGACATCTTATCATGAAAAAAATGCGTCTTTATCAACATTCAGCTCATTGTGCAGTGGCAATTCAATTATTTCTTGAACGTAATCCATCATATTGGTGTTTTATTTCAAAAACACAAGAAGAAGTTACACAAGAAAATGATTATTATACAAGAATAGTTCTTGGTACAGGATCCGAATTCATGTATATGCTTCCAAGACGTACAGATCAACAAAAAAAAGTAGCTCGACTTTTAACTGGTCTATCATTACCATCAACAGCACGACATTTTTCATCTGCACAAATACAAAAACAACGAATATTTTTCGATCGTCTTCTATTAAGTGCTGTTGATGAATTACCTTATATAGAAACTGATTTATATAAAATGAAAATCATTGCCGTTTGTAAGTTAGTTATCTGTTATTGATTTATTTATTTTTTCTATTTACTTTTATATAATAGTACCTACTGATGAATCAATTCTTTTACGATATGTTATTGAAACCTTATTTATTACTCATGGTGAATCAAAATTAAATATGATATGTCCCATTGGTGTTGATCCTGAAAAACGTTATGGTCAATCTTATGATCATCAATGGTTTTATCATATAAAAAATCCTGAACAACCAACCCCACAATCTATTCTTGCATTAATTGAAACAATAAAAGAACTTAATGAACGTCCATCCAACCATCATGATGATGATGATGATCATCATTGAGATAGAATTATTATTATTTGTAGGATTTATTGTTCTTCTTTTTTTTCGTTTTTCTTTGTCTTTTGACTTTTGTTGTAGCTGTCAATAATCACCATTTAGATATTTCATTTAACATTTTTGTTTTCTTTTTTTTGTATAGTTAGTAGTTTTCGAAAGCAATCCATTAGGCATCATTTTTTTATGTTTATTTCAATGAATAGTTCATCTGCTTTAGATAACACATTTTCTATTCAAGTATTCATCATCATCATCATTGTAAGACGACTTAAACTTGTCTACTCATTCAATAATATATTAATATTTGTTTTAGAATATGGAAGAAAGTATTCTATCACAAAAAATGACTGAATTAACAACAACAACAACAACAACAACAATGAACGATGTTAAAATTAAAAACAATTCATCTCTATCCATCGATAAAACGATTCAAGATCGTCTTGAAATAATTCCAAATTATTTAAAAGAAGAAAATAAAACATTTCAATCGATCATCGATCAAGTATTATGTTTGATGAATATATCGTCAATAGGCAGAGATAATATATGCAATGATTTACAACATATAAGTATTCTTATGTACAAAATGCATATTCTTTCGATGTATCATTTATTATGGACAACATATTGGAAATCAGGTCTTGGTCAATTGATTAAACAACAAAAAAATTATGTATTCTATTCAACAAATATTAGTATTTGGCCTAAAGAAATTAAACGAATAATAAAAACAACAATGAACGAACAACAACAACATACAGATACTTATACAAGTTCAATGGATTTAGTTTGTTATCATAGACAAGAACTTGAAAGACAATTAAGACAAATACAAATTGAATGGAATGAAAAAGTCAATCATTTGTCTGGTTATAATTTAAAAGTTGAACAATTATTACAAGATTATATTATTCAAAATCAAGATGAATTTCAAAAGGAAATAGAACATAAAATAGAACTGGTTACATATGATTATCAAATAGAAGCTATCAAACAAGAATTTAATCGTCAAAATCCAACTGAATATCAAGTATGTGTGTAATTATTAAAAGTCATTCATTTCATAGGATTGTTGTCTTTTTTGTTCGTATAGAAAAAACTTATGAAACAATTATGTCTAAAAAAAGACGAAAAAGAAACGACTGCACAAGAATTAAAATTCCTACAAGAACGTATCGATCATTTCAATGCATCAGATCAATCATTTGAACATTCGACTATTATTGAATCGACAGCAATGATCGATTCTATTGAAAATATTGAAATACGACAACAATTACAACAACAATGGCGAAAAATAATTCAACAAGCCAAAGCTGATCTCTGTATATTAATTTTAGAAACAGCTAAAGCACAACACAGTACAGCTGCATTAAACTATGACAATCAAGCTAATAAACTGTATTCAATTCATCATAATGCACTTGATTTCACAACATTACCATTAAAAATGATCGATTTAATTCATGAATATTGTCGAATGATAGGTGAACGTATTCAATCGATTTATAAATATAAGATTGAATGTTTCCGTTTGAAATTAAAGAAAATACAACATAATTATTAAATTCTATACGAGCAATGTTTTTTTTTGTTGTAGTGTTATTCATTCAATTTATTCATAGATTATATATTTGTCTTCGTTTTAGATTCTATTCTACAAGATATTTCTATAAATCCAATTCTATATGAACACAATGATGTCAAAGAACGATGAAATTGATGATTTTATTGGTATTTTTCCTGCTACAGTAGAATTTCAGCTTTGGATGTTGCATCCATATGACAAAAATGGCAAAGAAATAGCATTCCAAGGAATTAGATATTGGTAATAAATCCTTGATTTTAGCTTTCAAATTTTGAATTATTTTTGTTTTCTTTTAGTACCGATGATGACACATGTCAATGTAAAAGATGTAAAAGAAATCGAATAAATGAATGGCCTTATGAACGATCATTGTCTGCAAATCTTTTACATTTAACTGGTCTACATATGAATGATATTAATTATAGTGAAGTCACTAAATTTGAAGAAACTCTAGTCTTCGATTATCTAAGACATCTTCATGAATTTTGGAAATATGTTACTGGATTATGTTTATTAGCTGGTGAAAATGGAATTGAAATATTACGCCAATTCAATAATGGATTATTTGACAAAGCTTTTGTATACGATCGTCAACTTCATATACCTTGTCCAAATATTCCAGATCCGAACAGAAATAAAAAAATACTTCAATATTGTAGAGAAAAATATAAAATGTTACATGAAACTTTAAAAACTGAACCTTTTTGATAAAAACCTTTAAATAAATATACTTCAATAACTTCAATAATATAAATAATCCATTGTTATTTCTATTCTAGATAACATGAATAGCAACAATATCGATCATCAAGGTTATTGGGATGAATTACCTTCGCAAACCCAATTAAGACGAATCAGAGAAGAAAAAAAATGGAATCCTATTCAACAGCAACTAAAGAAGAAACGACATTGTCGTGGTAATCGAAAGTTACAACGCTTCCGAAATGCATGTCGAGCAAAAGGATTGTCGGATCAAAGAATAAAAATGCTAATAGAAATGCATCAAGCCAACAAGTCAATACAGAAACAAAAAGAGGACATTTCTACATTGAATTCAAGTCATACAATCAAATCTTCAATCGATAAAAATCAGGTAAGATGAAACAATAAAAAACAAACGATAGCAACAGTTTTGACTTCTTTTTTTTTTTGTTATAGGATCAATTCAATAAATGTCAAACTACTACTAGGATGATTCCAACTTCTACATCAACACAACCGATGAAAGTCAATCATCTGTCAAAGGAGGATTGGAGACAGTCATCTCAATTAATACCAAATTATTACCGATTGTCACTTGATACATTTAAACAGATAATCTTAAAAAATATTCCTACAACTCACTATGATCAGATTCAACAATGTTTAACAAATATTGAATTGTTAAAATATATTAAAAAACTTGCTAATTTATGGTCTCATTTTTTTCAATTGAAAATTGAAGAAGATTATTGGAATTATGTAGACAATTTGCATTTACTTGTCATTATTTGGTTATCCGAAGATGTATCAAAAGAAATAATCCAAGAAAATTCTATCGATTGGGACCCTAATAGAACAAAAACAAATGTTCGATATCGAAAAACAGATGTTCAAAACAAATTACAACAAATCGAATATAATTTGTCGAAGCATCAATCTCAACTTTCATCCAAGTTCAACCTACAAAATGAAACACATGTGAAAGATTCAATCGACATCGTAATGAAAACATTTGCTATTATTGTACAAAATGATTTGAATCCTTTCCATGTGCATTTTCACCAGAAGAAACTCTTGGTACATTTTAATTTTCATGATGCATATCTAGTGAAATCATTCTATGATTTAGATCCAACTGAAGAACAAGTTCGTATTTCATTCACTTCGATCTCTTGTTCTATGTTATATTTCATATTCTATTTAAGATTCATCTTGTTCGAAAAATTTGGCGAGCTAAATTAAATTCATGTGAACGAGTTCTCTGTGAAAAAATGAAAAGAAATTTTCAAGATAACAATACAATAGTCAACATGAATCTACTGTCTATCGATGATTTCGTTCCTGTCATGCGTGCCATTATTGAAGCACGTCTCATCACTATCGAACAACGTACACAATTCATCATGGAATTTATCAAAACTCCTTCTCAATAATAAAAGAATACTTTTTCTTATATAATACCTCATAGAAATGTTTCTTTTTTTTTCATGTAGCTGGAAATTCATACCTATGTATAAATTGTTATTGTTCTAGATGATAGTTAAGAAAATAATTCTTGTTGAATTTAAGATATTAAACGAATGCATCTTATCACCAAAAATCCTTGAAATAATTCGTTTGTTCATTTGTTTGTTTAATTCCTTATTTTGTTTTCTATTTCAGATATAACTCTTCGTCTTTCTATTAACGATGACAACAACAAATACAAATTTTTACAATCAAGAAGAAGAACAACAGGTAATAGTAAAATCTTCTTGTTCTTTGCTTAAACAAGTATTTCCCATTGTATTATAGCATGAAACTTTGCAATATTTCGATAAAATGTCAAGTGATCTTCCATGGAATATTAAAGAGAAAAGTGAAGTCAAAGAAAAGTTGGATGTAAGTATTAAATAAATTTAAATCGATTATATTTCTAATAAATAAATTATTTCTAGAAAATGGACGAACAAATTTTATCAGAAAAAATGAGCCAGTTATCAACGAGTGCAACACATAAAAAACATCCTATCAAGATAATGAAAGAGATCAGAGATCAACTTGAAATAATTCCAAATTATTTAACAAAACAAAATATATCTTTCAAAGAACTTATGCATCGAGTGGTATCGTCGATAATAACAACAGCAGCAGAAGGATCAAAGAAAAATGATAATAATATCGATGAATTAAGAAAAATAGCTATTTTACTTTATAAAATTATGGTTATTCAAACTTATCAATATTTATGGCAAACTTATTTCAAATCTGGTACAGGACAATTGATTATTCCATCTGAAACAAAACAAAAGCTATCCTATTCAACAACTTTACCAATATGGCCAAAAGAAATAAAAACTATTGTATTATCCAACAATAAAGATAAAACAAATGAAAATGAAATTTGTTTAAAATTTGTCAATGAACAACTAAATGAATTGGAACGCCAATTGAAGCCATATCAACAAGAATTAAATATTCAGGCTAATAATTATCAAGGTTATACATTGTCAATTCAAGAAATAATAAAAACATATATTGAAGAAAATCTGAATGCTTCTTTACATAAAAAAATTGAACATCAAGTAGAACTGATTTATTATGATTATCATATTCGAGCATTGAAATTAGAATATTTCCAACATAAACCAAATGAGTATCAAGTATGTTTCTTTTTTTTTGGAAAATAGACAAATAAATCTTCTTTGAATTTAATCGATACTATTTTAGAAACAACTAATGATACAGATTTGTCAAAGTAAATATGAACAAGAAACATCAGAACAGGAATATGAATTTTTGAAACAACAAATTGCCTATTACAATTTACCAAGTCAATCATTTGAATGTTCAACAATATCTCATGATCCGTCCATTAATTCTATTCAAAATTTAACTGTCCGAGAAGCATTAATGAAACAATTGAAAGAAGTTGCTATACAATCGAGAATTACTTTATTTAATATTTATCTGAAATCAGCTGAAGATCAACGAGAAGAATATAAAACGAAACATGAAGCTAACTTAAAGAAAATGGATGCATCTAAACATACATTGGATAAAAATGAAAAGTTATCTTCAACATTGGTACAACTTATTCATGAACGTTGTAATAAAATTAGTGAACGTATACAATGTATTTATAAATATAAACGTCAATCTCTTCCATCGAAATAAAAATTAATAATTCTTTGATAAAATAAAACATTATTCCTCTTGTCATTTTTGTTTATCATGTATTTACTAGTTAGTTTGAATAATATCCCATTTTGCTTTTTTCATCTTTAGATAAATTATTAATTTGTTCCTGTTGATCATTATTTCGAATATGGACGTGAACGTGACTACTCTTCAAAATAATATTTTAGTTCAAAATCAAATTAAAAAGAAAAAATGTCATGGTAATAGGAAAGATCAACGTTTTCGAAGAAAGTGTCGTGCAAAAGGTATGAATTCAAGAAAAATCGAAAGATTACTCCATCAACGTAAGATACTTCATGAAAAAAAGACGAATCCAACTGATAATGCTGTGGCACATACAACAAAGTCAAAGAATAAATCGAATCATAAAAATGTTTCATTAACTAAAATAAATTCAACGAGGAATCTTACGAAACGTAAAAGGGATATATCAGTGCAAGATATTAAATCAAATACAAGAATACCAAAATCAACAAGTTTAATGTCAGTTGCACAACCAAAATTAAAGAAGATGAAAAAAAGAACTAACTTGCATATTCCAATGACGACTATTATCATGAACCATACTGCTTATAAACATTATCGGTCAGTGTCTTTATATTGAAGTTTAACAAAATTATAGTTAACAAGATATTTTTTTTTTCTTCTAGACGACCAATGTATTTGAAACGCTCACCGATGATAATTATTAAAATGTTGACTAACATTATCAATTGCAATTTCAAGAAAAAAGAAGAAAAAATATTCCTTTGTCATCGACTTGATCTATTAGATAAACACTATTATTTACAAGTTTATCAGCAATTATGGCAATCCTATTTAGATATTGGAATACAACAACATCGGTGGCCAGTAAGTTTCTTTTTCGGTGTCACTTTTAAGAATAATTTTTCATTTTAAAAAAAGAATCAATTGTATGCAATGGCAAAGGCAAATGATTTTCAGATATGTCAACAATATTTGGACAATTATATTAACACTATCAGGAAAGAAATAGATACATGTCATATTCAACTGAATAATCAAGCTCAATCTTATCCAATGACAACATTATCTTTGGATCAACTTGACTATTATCTTAAAAAATTTGTTGATCATCAACGGAAATATTTATTGGTGAGAAATAATAGACAAATACAAAGATTTACAGATGATTTTCACGAAAAACAATTACTAGAAACAATCTCTACATATCGTCTTAACAGCATTGATCAAGTATGTTTACCTAGTTCTTAATAGAATTGATATTTGTTTTTCTTATTTAAAATTTCTTTTTTAGAATCAATATATCGACCGATTGATGAGTATACGAGAAAAACAGGCAACCATTTACGAAGAACTTTTAATGTTAGAAATGCGCGTTTTATACAAATTTTTACCAAAAAATTTCGATCAACTAGAAGAGTTTATTGCACCGATGATTTATTCACCATTGAATAATGATCTAAAGATGATTGAAGTTAGAAATAAACGTTATAAAACTATTCAAGAAGCAAAACGTATATGGTTAAATGTATTTCTACATTCATATGAAGTTCAGTTACAAGAATATGATCAACAGTATGAAAATGAATTTTTACAATTGGAATCACATTTACTCAACAATATCAATATTAATGGTGCTTCTATTTACGAACAAATACAACAACATATGAACTGTCAAACAAATAAATTAAAACAACAAGTTTCTATGAAAATACGATCATTAAGAGGAATCTTAATAAAAAATCGTCGACGTTCATCATCTACTAAAAATACTATTGGTGTTTGGCCTGAACCATATCTTGATCTACTTACCAATGTATTCAATCGATACGAATGGAATTATCTTTCATTGGGTAATTCTTTTTTTTTAATTATTACTTCTCAATTCATTTTGTTCTATTTCTTACATTGTTTTAGGTCCATCTTGTATACGAATAAATCAAAGTGCTATTCGTTCTCGGCATCAACAAGAAATTGCAATTCAAAAAGATCATAAAAGTATTTATGATAAAGTTCGAAGTCATTTAAGTGAACATTATTTTATTCCAATGACAGCAAATATTCTTAAACAATATTCCAATCAACTACTTCATGATTTAAATTTTTCTTATTTTTCACCCTTATCTCATCATGATCAAATATTAACATTAAATCAAGCAAAAAAAGTAGTTTCAATTCAACGTAAAATCAAAAAACACAAGTTAATTCTTCGTGTCACTGATAAAGGTTATAATTTTTATGTCGGTACAGAAAAAGAATTTGATAAGAAAGCTCAACAATTTTTTCATGATACTAATGCTTTTATTGAATTAGAAGAAAATCCATTTAATAAGATTCAAGATAATGTTATTCATTTACTCAATCAAATACGTGCAAAAAAATTTATTTGTTTGACAGTTCATATGTTGTTGTATT